ATGAAATAATACTCTAAATAAGAAACTAAAACTGCCAGCAGGTGGCGGTAAATGTCTTCATTCGATTCGTTCAAACGGCTGATTCATTCAGGAATTCAGTAAACAGCTCTCTCTATAAATGGGTCTTTGAATCATTGGTTCACATGATTCGTTCAAAACGCGGGTTCATTCAGAAACTAAACACTGCTGTGTTGCTCGGAGACGCACAACAGTTCTGCTGTGGCTTTATAGGTAATATTTTTGTTGGCAAAACTGAGCAAAAACAGACAATATTGTGTTTAAAATAAATATAACACAATATTAACTTCTTATTTACTGAACTATTGTATAAAATCACATTTGCACTCGTTATATTCAGGACAAAAACTGCACTCGTGTGATATCGCTTATCATGTGAAACTCATGCAGGGGCTTTTTTTTTTTTTTGCACCAATATCTTGAATTTTAGGGCATAACTTCATTTATGGAGTTGTTACCCTGCATCATATTTGTCAGTCAAGTGTATGAAATGTATGACGTACAGGTATGGGGGCGGGGCCAGTCAGTTAACTGCTTTAAAATATTTTAATCGAAAATAATATTTTAATCAATTAAGTTAATGCATTAAACTGACAGCCCTAATATATATATACATACATACATACATACATTATTGCTCTTTTGTTGGTTTTGATTGCTTCTATTGTCCTCATTTGTAAGTCGCTTTGGATAAAAGTGTCTGCTAAATGACTAAATGTAAATGTAGATAATTCTGCCTTTTTCCTGCAAATGCGAGAAAAAAGTCAGAATTATGATTACCTTTTTATTTTGTGGTGGAAATAGAGCCACCACAACTGCACGATGTAAACTAGGAATTGCAAGAAATCTAGAATTCTGAGTTTACATCTTTATATCTCACATAATTGTGAGATAAAAAATTTGCAACCATATTTTTTATTCCATGGTGAAAATAGGCTTCATTAGGTTAGTTTATAATATTTATAATTTAGCAGTATATAAAAATGCATGCATGTTGACGAGTTCTTGCCTGTGTGATGTAAGGACCACTGCCCTGCCAACCTGAATCACACTCATGATGGAGTTCCAGAGGAACCTCCGAGAGTGAGGATCCATTCCTGTGGTTGGCTCATCCTGGCACAGGGGGGAAAAAACATACTTGTAACAATCCTTATCTTATTCTGAAATAAATCGCACAGAAAAGCTCTTACCAGGAGCAGAAGAGCTGGACAGCCAAACATTGCAATAGCTGTTGAGAGTTTACGCTTGTTTCCACCACTGTATGTGCCGGCAGTGCAGCCTGCATACCCAAATAAACCCAGTTTCTGAATTCCCCATTCAGCCACCTGCATCAATGAGAGATAGAGGTCTATGTCAGAAATCCTCAGAGAGAAAGAAATAAGAAGAGATAAGAAAGTGGAATATGGTCTCACTCTGCTGAACTCGGATTCCGGGACTCCTCTGAGCCGAGCATATAATTGCAGATGTTCTCTTCCTGTTAGAAGATCATCTATGGCATCAAACTGAGGGCAGTAGCCCATGTTCTGGTGCACGTCCAGAATGTTGGTAAGAATGCTGGAGCATCACAAGAAATGCAACCAAGTTAATGACAAAATCAAAATGAATTGAAGTCAAAATTAGTGTGTAAAGTGTGTAATTTGCCACATCACTAGAGGCACCAAACAAAAGAGTAAAAATAACAATGGTTTCCTAACAGTTTTCATAAAAATTGGTGTTGCTCGGGTGTCGCTGTGTAGTTACTAGGGAGGTATGGGTGGATAGGGTATTGCTATGCAGTTGCTAGGGTCTTCTAGGTGGCTGCTAGTGTAAAAATAACAATTGTTTCAAACAGTTCGCTAAACAGTTTTACTGCCCCTTTAACCCCATCCACTTTTAATAATGTCCATTCAAACAGGTCCCACCCCCAACTTAAAGTGCAACAGTCATGTTCAGGAGGTAAAAATCCCATTCATTTTCTCCTAAGTGGAATTGATTTTTAATGACAACGTTGCTAAGAGGTTGTTAATTGATGGTATATGCTTTTGTTGAAGCCATCATCCTACATTATTTCAACTTATTTCTTAAATAATCATGTCTAACAGCTGAATTCCTA